GGTTTCTATGGCTTTTTATGAGCCACGTTTATGCCAAAGTTACCTCACTGCAACAAATCTGGATCTCCCATGCAGTTTTTTCTCCCAATCAGGGCCAACCTATAAATCTGGTAATCAAGGCCATGGTAGTCTTGCCCAAATAGCATAGCATGGATAAGCAATCTATAAACCATAAGCCACTTGCAGTCCCCAGTCACTCCTAATGTGACCCATTGTGTAATTTGTACCTAGTTCACTGAGAGAATTTACAGTTACCATTCTTTGAAGCTGGTAAAATTTTGTTATACATTTGTAAAACTTGACACACCTCAATGATCTAGTTACAACTTTCTGTTTGTATTTTATCTGGAACAGAAAGTATTTTGTATAGTTTCAGAGTTCTGGTCAGTGACTGTAATAAAGAACTCCTTATGGAATTGCTACTGCCTTTGGCAAAGGAAATCCATGTGCCTGAACATGGTTCTAGAACATGGGACGGAGCAACAACTAGTCTGTGTTATTGATGTGAAGGCACAAGGAATAAAACCCCTGTATTCACACAGGGAAATAATTTCTTTCCATGTTTCCAGTTGTTCCATATTGTTCTGTTTTTGACAATGGGGGTGGGAGCTGGGTAGGACCTCACATTAACGGTAAGATAGTATGAAAATATTTGTGCGCCCATATGCTTGGAGTCTAACCCAATCCTGTAACAGGACTAAAATGGTTGCTAATCTGTATAACATTCCATTTAGGCAGTATTTAAATCAGATGAGGTTGTGGACTTGCACACAGCACTCTTTATGCTATCTAATCCTTCCAAACCACTTTGAAGCCATCTAAGCCCTCAGAAGCCAGAAAATCAACAGATATCATCAATGATCCAGTCAGTGCTCTCCTTCCAGCTGAGGATAATGCAAAGAAACAGCATTCAACCAGGGCCTTGCTGCAACATAGTATAGTTCCTGGAGTGACAAAAATCCTTTACTCCCCATTCATTGTAACAAGCTTTAAAATAAATTGCTATCTTGCATCCTCCGACATTTCCGGAGCAAATTACGTGCATATGGGCATTTGCTGAAATGGCTGTTAGAACGGGGAAGATGTGAAGCCACCAAGCTGCCTTTCTTCTGTTGCATTTACAAGCCTTTTGCTAGCTGTGAAGGTGAAAGGAGATAGACAGACAGACAGACAGACAGACAGACCAGGGCTCTTTCCCAAGAGCCAAAATCCTGCTGTGGTGGCTAGGAATGGGAGGAAGAATAGCTACAATGCCTACAGACACCCAACGCAGCACATGACCTGGGACTTACCTGCAGGGGTGGGAACAGAAACGGTCTTGGAGGAACAAAATCCCCTCCCCTTCTTCCACCCTCAAAAAGGGAAAGAAAAGCAATTGCTATAGCCTTCCCACCCCTGTCATGAGGCACCCACTAAAAATACAACAACAAACAAACAACACTCAACTGCAGCTGCTTTACTTCCCTTTAAAAAGGGAAGGTAAAACCACAGTTATTAATTTCAGATGGCTATCTTTTACCAGTGGATTAAATCTAAGTGTGATTATCACATGCTACCCATTTCTCCTCCTATGAAGCAAATGGAAGCAATTCCGTCACTTTTAAAGGAATGCTAACTTTTAACCTCAACTCCGCTCTGTTTGGGAAAGGATAGATTTCTCTCTTGCTTGCACACACACACACACACACACACACACCTCACACCTCTATGGAAACAGTATACTTGAGTCAATTTTGAATGGCTGGGGAGATTGCCCAGTATTCAAACACAAAGACTCTCTGGTATGTCCATAATCAGGTATGTTGCTCTGAAACCGGTCTGTCATTAAGTCCCTTTATAATCTCCAGAACAAGCTTTGCAAGATGGCAAACACAATCATTGGTCATTGCAGTTGGGTTTCCTACACAGCTAATGAGGAAGGGGGTCTGCCAGTAAGATGAGAGCTGTGCCAGGTGACTTGGAAGCTGTCAATATTAACTTTCCCTGAATATACACAGTAAAATATGTGTCAACATGAGACCATTTTTACCTCTGTATCTGGGTGGATAGAATGTCATATGCTTCAGAAAACTCCTAAACACCCAAAAGAAATTCAGAAAGCTGGGGGGGGGGGAATCCTTTCCATAAAAAAATGATATGTAAGAATTTACTAATTCTAGGATTGTCAGCATGGCTATTGTGAGTACTGGAAAAGCCAATGCCACTCAGAAGAAGAGGGCATTAGCAACATTCCAATTTTCTGCCCTGCCTCGTAGCTACATTTATGGGAACAAGAGGAGCAAAATGCCACTGCATTCCAAGTATTTTTGCCAACAACTGTGCCCAGATCTCTCCTCTAATTTCCGAACAGTTTATTCTGCTTGTCAAAGAGGGCTCTCTTTTTCCACATCATTTTCCAGATGCCTTAGGGTGTATTTTGGTAATGTCTTTTGAATGTACCTTGTCCCTGCAAAATCCCCAAGTGTCAGACTTGACCCCAGAGCTCAGCATAATCTCACCTCTCCAGTCACTAGCCCTTTTTCAGGAAGAAGCTTAATTTGGCAGAAGATTCAGACACAGCGCTCCTAGGTTAGACTCTGTGTTGCAGACAAGAATAAAGTCTTGATGAGGATTGCTCTTTGCAGAGTAAAGTGCTCAGTGTGCTTTGTACTGCCTAGTACCAAGAACTCAGTCTTTTTTACATATGTCTGTGCTTCAGAGTTTAAACCCTGGGTTTTTCTTCCATCTTTCTGAGTTAATGGATACTTTGCAGTAAGCTAGGTAGCTTTCAGCAGATCGCCTAAGTTTGTGTCATGGTTCTCTCCAGCCTGGGAGCCACAGGTTGATCACATGGTTGCAGCCGCCATCTTCACTCGTTGACCTTGTTGCTGCCTTACCATCCAGGGGGTTACAGCTGTTGCTTTTTCTGTTACGTGTCTCTCTATCACTCTGCAGCCTCCATTTCCTGGTCTGAAAAAGTGTCATTGAAGGAGTTGTTTTCTGATGTCTTCCCTTGTGCTTTACTTGAAGCAGGAGAAGCCAGGGAAGCTGCAGGAATGGGAGAGGTGACAGTATAAGGAAAGCAAACACCCTAACATTTTACCCTAAAATAAATACAAGAGCCCCAGATCCCATTCATGGAAATTGTATGGAAATACTGTTTTCTTTTGAAAAGAACGCTGAAAAGATTCTCTTTCCTACAATCTTAGAAGATTCCAGTTTGTTGAAATGTTTCTGTTTGCTTGAGGTCTTTTTGAAGGTTGATCTAATTACCATATAATCAGACATTCAGTCACTCTGGATTGTTCAAATTGCTCTCTCCAGCCATTGTAATGTATATGTTGTCCTTTGAAGTTCTTCATTTGAATACATTACCGAGCTTGACTATCTTGTTTTAGCAGCAATACAAATCTTGATACCAATCAAGCAACTCCTTCATCCAACTTAAAACATGTTGAGCTTTCTGAAAAAGGGCCTGGCTTAATAATTCTATGATGTAATTTGTCCTATGACTGACAGAAGCATAGCAATAATTAAGAAATTAACATGTTTTATGTCAGCTATCATGTGAATGATGCTTTCCACTGCCACATGGAAGGTGGCTTTGGAAGCTGTGAAGGAGGAAGGGAAGCAGCAAAGGTCTCTTCTCTCCATCAGTAGGGGTCTCTCCACTGGAACAAGAAATCAAGGAAGTCACTTAATTAAAATCTGCGAAGACTTAGGATGTCAATAGATGTTACGAATGCTAAGGCAAATTCCCACACAAGATGATGGAACCTGGTACAATCTTCTTCAACCATGGTGCCTTTCAGAAGTGTTGAATTCAATTCCCATAATTTGAAAAACCATAAAAAGAAATATTGTATGCCAAGTTGTTGCCCAAGGCTTTCTGCTTAAGAGTTGCTTTTTTTTTTGGACAGGCAGAAAAGAAAAGATATAGGATTTGAACTTCCTTCTTCCTATTTATAATTATCACTTGACATTTCATTGTTTGTTCTGCATTGATCCATGTAATATACAATGTAAACACAAGCTTGTTTGATGCTGAAATTTTCATCAGCAGAAATATTTATCAGAACTGAAATTGGAATTTTTCAATTACAGTAAAATCATACACACAGGTCTAAGCCACACATAGCGCAAATAAACTGTATTTAACCTTACTAAATAAGACTGGTTCACTCAAGACAGTAAGCTATTGACAGTGGTTATGTTCTCAGAACATGCTAAGCCAAAATTAAACATACCACATTATAGCTTTGTGTGGTATGTCAATCCAGCCCCAGTATGTTCAATAGGACCTATCAGGATAACATTTTGGAGTGTACCCCTAACCATGTACAAAGGTACAAAATGGGCAGAAGTAGGGTTGGGAAGCTTCCTACATTTTTAAATGATAAGTCTGGGATCTTGACGTGGCTCCAGTTTTCACTGTTCTAAATACGTTTGCTAAAAAATGAGGGCCATTCAGTTTAGCAACATTAAGTTTACTAATTACTATTAAGAATTGCAGCTTTAATCTCCCCCCCCCATGTGCAACTTAATTAAAAAGTTACTGTATAGCACTGAAATAAATGCATGCCATGTACATAGTGCATTCAGATGAGAACAATCACCCTAACCCATTTGCAGAATGAAATCCTTTTTCCCCAGCTGAAATTCTCCTGCATAGTCACACAGGTTCTTCTACAGATAGTCCTTGTTTAGCGACCACAGTTGGGACTGGCAACTCTGTGGTTAAGCAAAGCGGTTGCTAAGAAAAACTGCAACTGTGCTTATGACCTTACTTCAGCTTTTCTTTGCTTTACAGATCTGCGAAAGTCATAAATGCAAGGATTAGTCACAAAGTTACTTTTTCATCATGTCGTAACTGAAGTCATTTACCTGTATTTGTTTTCTTTCCCCACTCAAAAAAAGAAAAGAGCTTTTAAGGGCAAAAAGACATAAGGAAAAAAGGGCCTCCCACTAGGCTCCTACTTGAGTGTTCGTTATAGTTGCCTTTATTTTTTCTCTATTTGCAGTGTTGGTGTTTCTTGCTATGTTGCAGTCGTTGGATATCTTACCTGTGCTTTGATGGCTCTTCTTTGTATTCCTGCCCAGACAAAGCCACAGTCCAAGGGAAATGAAGCACATCAGGGTGAGTGCCTGCCATGTCTGAGTGTTAAGGAGGGAGGGGAAAACCGAACCTGAAAGTCTGAGCTAAGATCATTTGGGATCTGTGAATATCCTTTCTATTTAAATTATGCTAGTGCTGCTTTCCTTTTCAACTTTACGGTGCACAGATTTAGGGAAATGCAACTTAACCCCAAGGTAAGTATGAGTATGATTGCTTCGTTTTGCTCACTGGAAAAAACACCGGCTTTAATTTACTGCAGTCCTTACATTGCTGGGAGATGTATATGTGAGCCATGCTATGCTCAAGCATTCACTTAGCAGTAAGTAGCTTGGACTCCCTTGGGTTGGTGTCCTTCACACATTGTGGACTACAGCTAAAAAAATGGGATGTGTTTGTTTCTTCATCCCAGCAGCCCTTGGGTGAGTTTTGGGTATGACCTGAGGCTGCCTGAGGATATCGTGCAGTCGAATTTGAATATCTGCAGCCGATTCCCATAGGTTATCTCAAGACAACTGTATGACTAAATGCAGATTCTGACCTGGAACAGCCTTTTCTTTTTCCTTCCTGCCCCTTCGTTTTTTTGTTTTGGCTTGTTTTACCATCCTGCTCAAAGAAAGATTGTGAAGAACTCAAATGTTTCCCTACTTTTGTGACCTCAAGTCACAATAAAGATTGGTTCTAATATAGATTTTTAAATTAGCAGCCTCCTGCTCTTTCATTATATGACATAAAATATAGAAATAAAAATGGAGCTATTGAATGTTGGCTTGACATCGGGCTTGTACTGTGTGTAGCACAGTAGAGGGAAGTAAGGAGGAATGGAAGATAAAGGCTATCATTAAGTTATTTAAAGAGAAATAGAGAATGTATTCATTCTAGGGCTCACTGCTGGTTGTACAGTGCTTGTTCTCTGCACACACACACACACACACACACACGCACACAAACACAGCTCCAAGAATCCATGCTCTCTTGAGCTTCAAATGTTTGGAAAGTAAAGTTGCAGGTATTCATGTACAGAAATGAAGCAGGGACTTGGGAATTTCTTTATATCTAGTCTTTCCCAATCAGAGAGACTACAACTCCCAAATCTTCAGGTAGCATTGGCCATGCTGGATGGAGATGATTAGAGTTGCAGTACAAAACATCTGGAAATTTGTGGAAGTCTGATTTATTCAAAACATTTGTAAACATATATTTATTCTAAAACAGAATGCTGAGCACACTTACTGCATAAAAATTTTAAAAAACAATCAAATTGTATGTATTATTATATTTATTAAAAAGAGAATCATTCATAATTTAGACATTTACACAGATTTTGCCTAAGAGAGAAAAAAACTTTAAAATGTGGGAATTACAATGCTATGCCAACATACCTGGAAGTTTGGAATAATTCGGAAGAGCCAAACTGTACTCTATGCTTACCGCACAGTCTGATTTCCCAGCGTGGCAGCATTATGCACCAGAGTACCTATGAACACCTCCCTTGGTACCAGCAGGCTCTCTGGCCCACCAGACCAAAATCTTTTGTAAAGATTCTTTTAGTCAGTGTTGTCCAAACTTGGCCACTTTAAGATGAGTGGACTTCAACTCCCACGAATTCCCCA